TTAAAATAAAAAAGTACTACCCTACGACACATTTGAGGCATACACTGGGGCCTAACATTTTATTCACTACTGGGATTTTTTAGAAGATCCCACATTAACTGCCGGTTTCACGAAAGCAATTTAAGTGAAAATTAATTTTTTTTCTGTCAGTTTCCATATCAAATTCAAAAAAAGTAACCATTTTTCATTTACAGCCGGTTTCACTAGCAATTGAAATGGAAATGGTTTTTTATTTTCCATATAAAATTCTAAAAATTAAAGTGATTTTCCACTTAAATTGCTTGCGTGAAATTGGCTTTTAAATTTGTTTCGTGACACCGAGGTAAATAAATAATATCGAGAAAAAGAGTTTAACAGAAAGTAGCCTTTTATAAAATTTCCATTTACGATTCAAAACCAAAAAAGAACAAACAAAAACGTAACCGCTTTAACAAAGGTGGCAAACGCTTAGATAACGAATGCCCTCTAAACTTAAAACAGAGAAGATAAAGTGTTCGTATTATAAACAATTTTACAAGATGATAGAAGCAAAAGTGTGTAAATTAAATCACCGACTTGGAAGAACAAATAATTGTCCAACAAACTGATAACAAATGAAAAATATGTGCCAGCGCTTAAGACGTTTAATTACATAGCCTTTATGTATATAGATTAGAATAATTGCATATTTGCCAACTCAAGTATTAAATTGCATTATGCAAACCGTGAAACAAATTTTATTAAGTGCAAATACTTGAGATGAAAGCATGGAAGATTGCGCAAGTAAGTCTTCCAACTCACAAATAGTCAAATCACTTAAGCTCATCTCAAATTTTTAAATCAGCATAGGTGTGTATATATGTATGTATATGTGTATACTAGGGTGGTCCAAAAATGTATGGGAGAAAAGTAAAATCGGAAATTTATTGCTCTCACCCCCTAGGGTTGTTCTATACCGAAAAAAAGTATACCCCTGTTTTTTTATTTTAAAATCAAAATATATTTAAAGGTCGCTCAAAGCGCTTAAAGTTTCCCATGTATTTTGTATGGGGAAAAAATACTTTTCGTAGAAATGGCATAGAATCCATGAAAATCAAAATTTTTCATTCTGAAAACTCTGCTTCTCTTCAGAGGACTTCAGAGAATACGGCCCAATTGTTTATTTAAACATTTTTTAATTTTAACTTTTTTTCTTTTGTATATTTCTTTTTGTATATTTGATTTTTTTTTTGGGATATTTCGGAGACCCTTAAAAAATAGTTAAAACTAAAAAATTTTTAAATAAACAATTGGGCATTATTCTTTGAAGTCTTCTGAAGAGAAGCAGAGTTTTCAGATTTAAAAATTTGGATTTTCATGGATTCTATGCCATTTCTACGAAAAGTCTTTTTCACCATACAAAATACATGGGAAACTTTAAGCGCTTTGAGCGACCTTTAAATATATTTCGATTTTAAAATAAAAAAACAGGGGTATACTTTTTTCGGTATAGAACAATCCTAGGGGGTGAGAGCATTAAATTTCCGACTTTACTTTTTTTTGGACCACCCTAGTGTATACGTTTGTAAATACTCGTAGAATGAAAAGGAATAGAGAAGCAGCGGCACTAATATTGCCAGTAAGAAAAAGGCAACAAATATTCTTTAAAAATGCGCAAGTGATAGTTAACTATGTTTACAAAGATTTTCTATTTATTTACTATGCACTGACGCATGTAAGCAATTAAATATTGCAATTTACACTGAAAAAGTTGCCTCGATTTCCTCCAACGAACCGATAAAAAAAACGAACTCAAAATGCACGTATTTAGATTATAGATGCATCCACTTTTGTGTAAGTATGTATGTATCCTCACAAATTTGTTCACTAATTGTCTTAAAAACTTTATATACATAGGTGCATTCAAACGTACAAATGTATGTACTAAATACATATAACTACTTAAGTATACAAAGCATACTTGTAAAACTAGAATTTTGTAGCCAGCTAGCGTTATCATCCACAATCAGGCCTTCTTATCAGCGCTCAGCACCCAGCGAAATTGGCATTAAAAATATTTGACGATAATTGTCCAGTTCTTCTATGTGCACTATACACTGGGGGCCATATAATAAGGGACACTACTTTTTTATAAGTTTTGACAATTTATTTTTTCTTTATTTATTTTTAGTTTTAATTTTTACGAAATATACAACGAAAACCAGTCAACTTAAAGTTTTATAATAATTGGTCAGAATTCAAAAAGTTGTCATTAAAATTTTAAACTTTTAATCGGAATTTCTAGATCAGTGGGGCGAATCGCGTGTTGCCGTGTTTGGCGATTTTTGGCGAATTTGTATTTAATTTTATAAATGTTGCGTCCCATATAAAAAAAAAAAATACTTTTAACTAATTTATTCTCCTGATATGTACTATTTAAATATTAAAGCATTGGACATTTTGCGGCAGTTTTATGCGCATTCTAGCATTCATAACAAAATTTGCAGGTCAGTAAGTTTGTTATAAGCATAAAAATGTCTGGTAACATAGTTGAAATTGGAATTGTCTGCATTCACCGTGTAAACAGACAAAAAGTTGTATCGGAAAGGTAGATTTTCAGAAATAAAAACTGCTTTCGAAATCCCCTTTACTTGCAAGGTGTAGCTGCTTCTGCAATCTATTTTGGAAATTCTTGAGTTTGACAGACTTTTGAAAAGGACTTGCACTTGCCACGTCTAAGAGCTACTTAAGAAGTCTTTTGAGTATACAGTTTTTTAGCCCATTCATTTCTTAGCCCATTCATTCCCTTGTTTTCAAGTCGTATTGAAGATTGCATGGCATTGCATAAAATTTCAACTAGACTTGTGTATTAAAACGGAAAAACTTGGCAGCACTCGATAGTTTACGACAATTTTCGTCGTCAACTTACACAATGAGGCTACATATTTTTGTAATTTTATAAATAAAGAAAAAATAAATGGTCAAAACGTATAAAGAAGTAACGTCCCTAATTATGTTGCCACCACTGTATGTACATACATTCGATTTCATATCCTATTAAACAAAAGTACTGTTCCAGGAGACCTTCTATTTGCAAGTGTCATTCAATTTTCGTTTCCAATACAACGAAAGCCAAATAAAAGAATACATCGCAGTAGCCACTGCAGTACATGTCTGATACAAAGTTAAATTTGAACTGTATCATTAGTGCTTCATGTAAATTTTCCACTTCTAAGGGGAAGCTCCATCCGAAGGCCTTGAAATTCTGGCCATTACATGCGGAACAAAAAGGAGTGAAGAATCGAGCACGGAAGTCTCGCTGCAAAAGATCAGAAATAAGGGCACATAAAAGGTCTTTGTTTGTTTTTTTTTTTTTTTTTTTTTAAGAACTGGAATGCATTCTGCGTGTGAATATATTCCATACCGGAGAGAAAAAATTGTGCAATAAAATAGGGCAAAACTGCTTCTTCAGGAAAAAATTATTCTCCTCTTAATCGTATTAACAAAACCACTGAACTTATCATTTACTTTTCGTTTCATAATTTAAAATTTTTACCTCACTAACTGAACAGACTTCACAGGGCTGCTTGGGAAATCTGAAAGTGATTAATTGAGTTATTGTTAGACACAGATACATAGAGCTTAGTTAAGAGCTAAATTTCTAAATATTTTTAATTGCGCAATCAAAAGCGAATGTCAAAATATAGGCAAACCCCGTGGTAGAAAAAAGAAGATAGTTTCACTTAGTGACATTAGCAGCCATGTAGCCTTTTGACTTTTGCTGAGCTTATGACATTTTCATCAAAATCAAGCTACCAGATTGAAAATTATAATACAACTTTTTCGGAAAAGAGTTTTGTCGACAAAGAAAAAAATTAATTATTTTTTAAAATAATAAAAACAAAAATGAGTGGCGCATTTGAAAGCTGCAAAAATACAAAATACCACTGCAAGGAAGACGGTACAAAATTGTTTAAATTTAAAGGGCTTCCTTTTGTGAGACAGTACCAGTAAAGTTTTCAAAACGGTCTACGAGAAACAAAAGTTTGGGAACCCCTGCATTAGATCAACACAGAATAGTCAATTTTGAACAGTACACTAGCATTACCAGAGGTGTTCGAAAAATGTATTACAATCTAATAAAATAAAAATACCTTTTTAGTATCGACGGTACTTAGACAATAAAACATCTGAATAAAAGATGCAAACAAGTAATTTTTAGCAAAAAAAAAACGACTTCAACTCTCTTATAAAAAAAAAATATATATATATATATATATATATCTCATGATCCACTGATCGGATCTTAACCAGATTAGTATGGGACCACCTCTGAGACACTACCTTTCCAATGCAAAAAGAATTATCGGTGGACGTGGTCCAAAGTTATGCGGTAACATACATAAAAAAAAAATAAAAAATATTCCGACGAACTGATAACCTCCTCCTTTTTTGAAAGTCGGTTAAAAAAAAGAAGAATTAAGATCCAGAAAAATACATCGTAGACAATATTTCCTGTACACGCTCTAATTTTTTTTCTAAATAAAACGGAATTGACTTAAGTATTTAGTTGGAAGTGGTCTATAAATGAAAGTTTTTTTGAAGTTTGATTAATTTTTGTGAACTTTGTGCAAACCTTGAAACTTTTATTTACGTGGTTTCTATTGTAGATCGAACTATATTTTAAATGAAAATTATAAATAAATAAACATAAACCGCAAACAACAGCACTATTTTATTGGTCGCTGCTGTAGGCACTAAGTAAATTTCCACACATTTCAGTCCAAGGCCTCTGAATAATACACACACACTTGATTTCATCGCAAAGCTTGAACGCTTTCAAGGATTAAACTATCAGCAGTGAATAGCTTTCAATAACAATATTTATGAGTTCGAAACATTGACAAAATTATGTACATATGTATGTATGTATGTATGTATGTCTATTTAAGTCCTATATGTATATGGATTGTACAATGTATGAATAAACGAATGAGCCAATTAATCAAAATTAAATGCCAAATAAAATATTTTCTACTCACTTGTTAACTCGGTGGCTTCATCCCCGAATGACAGAAATTTATTCATATCTTGTTGCTGCTGAGACTGTATCTGTGTCTGTGTCTGCGTCTGCGACTGTGGTTGGAGCTGTTGTTGCTGCTGCTGCTGTTGGCCTCCGCTGGGGATTGCCGCTGCCACCGTAGTTGGTGTTATATTGGAATTGGTTTTACCAATGTGTTGTTGCTGTTTATTACACAATTGGGAAATAGGCGTAAATACGGAAGCGGTCACCGATTGGGCGCGTGGCGCGGCGTTCAATGGTGGCAACGGAGCGCTTGCTGCACTCACAAACACCGCCGATGTACTGGTGGTCGATGGCACCGGCGGCGGTGGTGACGACGTCGGCTGCGTGGCGTTCAAATCGGCCAGTGTGGCCGGACGAAATACCGATGCGGTGACCGACTTGGGCCGTTTCTCTTCGAGCAATTTTGGTGCGTGCAAGTTTTTATTGCTCGCAGTTTGTAGATCGTTGTCGATCAAGCAATTCGATTGTAGATTGCGCCGCAATGACGAAAGTGAATTTGCGCAATCAAACGGTTTAGATGGTGTGGCTGAGGTGGCTGAGGTGGTGGTGAATGAGGTAGTATTCGGTTGTGCGACAATTGCTGACGATTGTTCGCGTTTGATTGTGGCACACAAGTTATTGGTACTGTTGTGGGAGTTGTTGGTATGATCTTCTTTTAGATCGATGTCGGTGGTTTGGATCAATTGTAGTGTTGGTGGTGAGTTGGGTGCTGCTTTTATCGAATGCAATTCGATTTTGCTAGTTTTATTTTGTAGTTTTTGAGTTTCTTCTTGCTGTTGCTGTTGCAGTTGCAGTTCTTGTTCGAGTATTGTTGGTTTAGTACATTCTTTCAATTTGCACTTGTCGTCGTCAGTTGAGTTGATGTTGATGATATTGTTGTTGCAGCTGATATTCTCGTTGATGTTGTTGTTGCAACAGCGATCGCTAACGTCACTTTGATCGCTTTTGCCGTCGCTTTCCCCAACTTTAAGCTTGCTTGCCTCGTATTGTGCAATTGAATAAATCTCATTGTCGTTCTCAAGATTGCTGCAAAAATTTACACATAACGCGCTTTGTACATTATGCACTTTTGGTAAGAGTATCGGCGATTTTCTCGTACAATAGACACACACGCAAACACAACAAGGGAAGTATGGAAAACGTACGGTTTTAGACGTCGCGTTTTCGATTATTGGCGATTAGAGAACACTTCACGTTGGCACTATTTGTATATATATATATGTACACAAGTATTTATTTATTATTTTTATTATTATTATTAGGAATATCATTATTATTAGGATTATTATTATTATTAGGATTATTGATATTATTAGGTTTATTATTATTATTATTATTATTATATTTTATTATGTTTTATTATAAACTTCACATATCGTTTCATCCCCGTAGGCCTATCACTCTAACCATAGCAGGCTACATTGCGTACCAGAGGAAATTTACTTTTCGGGTGACCTAATATATGAATGTCGTAATCGAAAAAGTCGCAACCCTAAGTGTGTTTAAAAAGATTTTACGACTTTAAAACTCTGAACTTATTAAAAAATGTATATGGCTTCGCGGATGAAACAATTTTTATCCAAGGGATTTCTTATTTTGCAGACATAAAGAAGAAAACGTTTACCTTTTTCAGAAATAATGAAAACGCAAAGAAAATAGGAGAATTTTTAGAAAAAAAGATAAACTCGCAAAAGTTGTGTGGATTTTTTTCAGATCGGCAGAGTTTCTGGCGCTGGCGGTCAAATGTTTGCAAAAAGTCGACCTGGTACCCCCACCTAGTGGGGAAAGTAATAAATTTTACAAAAACAAAATACATTTCTTTCAATTCGGTTAAGAAATGTATGTAGCTACAAAAGGCTCTAGACTAAATCACCTACATTTATTTGCTTTTTTCTATGTACAATTGTGAAAAGATAGAAATTACTTCTCAGAGATGAAACCTTTGAACTGCAACCGAAATGTCAACTCTTAACCCTATACTATTCAAAATTTGTAAATTTTTTAATCGCAGCCGAGTATTTCTAAGCGATCGTGTTTGTTCCCAGATGAAGGATTTACCATACCGAATATGAAGGGAAAATCTCACACTCATATAAGTACATGGATACACCACATTTCAAATGGTGATCTGATAAAACCTAAACCAGAATTCCTTGTTGACATAAAGAATTTTTTATAAATTGAATGGAAAGGAAATTTCGAATTGCAAACGCGGTTTTATAAATGAGTGTGTTGCATTTGGTGTGTAATTTTGTGTAAGTACGCATTTCCACATTTGCATTAAAACGAAAATGCTACAACTCAAATAAAGCTCAAGCAAATGAAATTTTAAATATTTTCATACTTACAAAAACTTTAAATTCAAAGATATTAAGTGTTATCAAATATGGTAAAGGCATAAGAAAAGATTAATTTCTTTGTTTACTACTTTTTGGTTGTTTGTTTACCTCTTTTGATATTACAGTCAGCTATGAGAGAGCTCGACTGATATGTCACTTCTACCTTGTTTAATATGCTTTGAATAAAATCGAAAATAAATTGTATGTATGTATGTACATTAGACCATGATAAAAATATAGTAAGGTAGAACCGCTGAGAGTCACTTTTAAAATTCTTGACGTTTCCAAACAATTTAATTTGTAAATTTACTCACAAACTCACACACACATTTTCATTTTCAATCTCAAGCAACAACAATTTCGAACAATTTCAATTTTTTTATTTTCACTTTCACTTTTTCACTTATTTGATTTTAAAATGATGGCAAACTTCAAAAAAAATCATGGCCGACAAATTGAGAGAACGGTTCTACCTTATGTTTTATGTTTTTATCATGCATTAGACTGCATCACTCCCCATACAAAGAAAAAATCGGTACTATTTTTTCCATTCGAATTATAAAATCTATTATATTTTAAGACGTCCGCCAAAATATTTCCGAAAAATATTAAGATTTAAGTGAGCTGGACCGATTTGAAAATACCTCCAAAAATGGAGTTTTTCATGAATACAAATAGTTTCTTAAAGAACTTTTTGAAAAAAGTCCCCTCAGATGACAAAACAGATTAAGCTTAAAAAATCTGCATAAAAATATTTAAAAATATTTTCAACGGATTCGTAAGCATGAGAAAACCGCAACTTTTTTTGGTGATGCAGTCTAATGTACACATGTATGTATCTGAAAAAAAGTTTACTCACAATATTTGAAACAAAATGACGTAGAAATAGGAAAGGTAGAAGGGACGACTAGCTAACTATAACGTCAAAAAACTGTAAACGAAATAAATAATCCTTTGAGGTGCGAGAGCTACCTTTACTACAAATTAGAATCAATTGAAATGCATCTGTGTAAATAGATAAACATGTATAAATTAATTGCAAATGATTTTAAGTGCATTCAAAAAACTGTCAGTTATAAGTTTTCAGCGTTTGATCACGATGTCAGTTACGAGTTGTCAGTGTGTGACCATCGCTATGTATTTATAGATACATATATGAATGTTGTTGAGAGACAAAAAAAACACAATTCAAAACTTTCTCAAGCCACGCAATTGAATTTTTAATGAAAAATAAAAAACTGTTAAAATTTGGTCACTATGTGACATTATAGTCCTACTCAAAAGAGAGAAATGTTGAAATCACTTCTGCCTTGTTGGATATGCCTTGGAAAATACTAAAAACCTGGCGTATGTTTGAGATTTTTTAAAAGATAAACTCTATTTTACTGTACCTGAACTCATTATTTCCTTAAATGCCTTAGTCACTCCTCTTTTTAAATTATCATCTAGAGTTGCTTGACAAATGCTAACCCATGCGAAATTTGTTTTTTTTTTACAAATAACCTGAGAATTTTAAAGTGTTACACAGTTTTCTAAATTACACTGTAGAACACAAATAAAAATAACAAAACATAACCAAAAAAACTGTAACGGCATTTTTAAAGTTTACGTCTGGCAGATTCAAAATAAAGATCAAAATCATTTTTTTTTCGCGGATCCATTTAGTTATTGTGTATACACTTTACTTGATAGAAGAAGCATCTAAGTTTAAGTAAATAAATGTAATGGCTTTCTGAAATACTTGGTTTGCGCGGACAAGTACCGGAAGTTTATCAGAATGTGGCACTGGAAGCAACGCTGAATTTCAGAGAAACTCTTTTGCCTAAAGTATGGGTCACTGTAAATCGGTACGCGTTCCAGCAATTCCTGTACAGCAATTGTTGGAATCCAAAACCTTCCAAAAATCAATAAATGCATACCCTCTGCTTAAATTCACAGAGTAAGCCGTTGATAAAACCATTGAGAGGCAGTCTGACGTTTGCCAGCAATATAATTTGAAAAATTCAAAACTCAAACTCAATTGTTTATTTAACCATTTTTTAATACTAACGATTTTTTATTGGTCGCCCCATTGCATTTTTCGGGGTATTTGTGGGTTTTTAATTATAAATTATAGTTGTGATGAAAGAATGGTTATATAAACAATTGGGTATTATAATTGGGAATCTGCTGCAGATGAACACATAGTTTTCTGGTAGAAAAATATTGATTTTTAACTATGCTGTACCATTTCTACGAAAAGTTGTTTTTTTTTCCATATTAAATACATGGAAAACTTTGGCGCTTCGAGCGACCTCTAAACATTTTTTGATTAAAAAACAAAAAATAAAGGTATATTTTTTCGGTATAGAATAATCGTAGGGGGTGAGAGCATAACAAATCCGATATTACTTTTTCACATGCATTTTTGGACCACCCTAATGTACATATGTATGTAAATTAAAAAAAAAATAATTTTATTTTTCTCGATTTTGTTACAGCGTGTTATTAAAACTTCTAACACATTCTACCTGTGAAAGATTGCATCATTGATGAAGGAAAATCACGTGATCTTTCAAAAATAAACAAAATAAGCATTGTGGTGCGAAATCGCGCAATTATCTAGAAAATGTATGCAAAATAAAGCGCAAAATATATAGTAAAGAGAAGCAAGTGCATGAATAAAGAGCGGAGTCAAACACACTAAATATTCAGAATAAACCAGTAAAGAGAAGAGGGAACTATGCTACGTACAATTACATACATACATACATACATACATAGGCATGTACATATGAAGTGCAAAAGTAGTTTCTCCTACAAATTCTGGTCAAATACTAAACTGCATTTTCCACTAGTAGGTTGTTTAGGACAGGTGGCGGCGGGCGGCGCCCATTTTGCACAAAGATTGAATTTATATAGTTTTTGTTAAAAAATATACCATCCACGTAAAACCTAAAGTGCCCATCTGCCCGTTGCTCCTGTTATGTAATGAAAAATGGTCAGAAACGTTTTTATTCGATTTTCGTAATGAAAATTAATGCAAAGTGGTGAGTGGGCGCACATATTTTGTACAAACCATGGCATTGCCAGAGATGCGAACTGTTTTTTTCGGTCAGCGTATTAACTGGACCCAATGCCCTTTTTCAAAGTTTCAATGGGTGGCTCGTATATACAAGAAATAATTCCAATATAAATATAATTGCATTTTTATTAAATACTTTCACATTTGTATATATTTATTAAGCAAATTTGCATAACATAGTAAATTGCATAAAAATGTAAAACTAAGTATTTATCGAGGTAGATTATCATAAAACGAGTGGAAATCTTTGTTTATATATTGCTTTAACGTTTCTTGCTGTTTGTTGTTGTTTCAAGTAAGCCCGTATGCCCGTTTTTTCAGAGTACTTCGAGTACTGCGGGCACATAGCGGTTTTTGGTCAGTTCTTAACCAAAAGATATATAAGAGAACGCCATATGCAGTAATATGGGCAATAGATAGTGTCAATAAAATATGCAATAAAAAAAAATTACAAAAATCACATATCTATTTTTGTTGGCGCAGCGACGTATGTAAGTATATTGCTTTAATAAACCCAACATATAACTTTTTATCTAGTGTTTTTTTTTTTACAAATTAGTATATGTAATTGTTTTATTACAGGGGACCCTGTAAATGGACCTTACACCAAATTCATAAAATGAAACTTCTTAAAAGTAAAATTGTAT